AACTTCTAGTTTCAATCAACTTCTGAGCTACACAGGATATACTATTGAGATTAAAGAAAGCTTCGTCCATTCTCACAAGCAAAAGAAACTTATCAAGTTGAGGTCTAAGTAATAAAAGTTCTTCACTATTGAAGTCCAAAGGATAGAACTGAGCAAAACGTAGCAATTTATCCTTATTGAAAGCTGCAAATGAATCTCTTGGACTTAAACATGAAATGCAAGTAAAGAGCTCAGTAGTTGTTTCTGGAAATCGATCATTCAACTCTTGCAAGATTGAGTCTATCACATGACAATACAAATCAACATAAAAGCGATGAAAATAAGTCACCTGTTGAGCTACACGCCTAGGTCGACCTTTCACCACTACAATATCCTCCATATTAGGCACTAAAATATGTCTATCAACACAAAACTCAATCACCCTACTGAATAAAGTATCCCAACCATTCTCTCTCAAGTTCTGCAATGCACACTTACACAAATTCAATAACCTCATAGCATTCTGAATATCCTGATCCTTTTTCTGTAAGGCTTGTGAAAGGTCGTCTGTAATTGCAAGAATTTCAAACATAAAATGAAGACTGAACACAAACTCAAAATCTTGCATATTGTTCATCTGTCTTAAGGCCAAAGATTTTTGATCTGAATGTACGCCATCTTCTGATATATTCTCAAGAACATCTATAATAGCATTAAACATATTAATGAAACGAGTAACTGTCAATAAATGTGAGCCCCATCTAGTATCACCTGGGCGTGCCAAACTCATTTCTTGAAACTGACCACTTCCACCAAAAAGTTCCCTAATATTAGGCTTCTCCAAAATATTAGAATGATAACTTGCTCGAAGAACATATACACCTGGACATACCTTCTGTTGTTCTCAGCTTCTTTGCTTCAAATAACCATGCACTTCACAAGTTCCATTCTGTTCAATTTCACCTGTAGCCATCACTGGTAACAGTAGACAATGTAACTGGTCAAATTTTAGTTGAAAATGAATTCAAAATTACGACGACGGCTAAATAATTTGCAAGATCAACACTAAACAATGCCTCCTATGATGAGAAAAGCAGATAAGTAAATTGTTACTCATAATGAGTTCCTAGATTTTGTTATGCTTGTTTTGGGAATTTAGAGTAGCAGAGTATTCAAAAAGAAAGGAAGGAGCTGCAGAAAGAAATTAACACTCAGGAATGCAGAGTTTGCAAGTTATCTGCTATGTTTTTATTCCAGAGCTGAAGGTGCCTATTTATAGGCTTACAAGCAAACTGAAAAGCATAAAAATCTCAACTAATACTAGATATTATTGCCACTACTTTCAGACTTATTTGCTAACCTTAAACAGTGAATTTAGGAGCAAGAATCTGCTGGAAAAATAAATATCAAAGACCAAGTCAAATTTGGATAAATTTCGAATCAATTTTCAACACTCCCCCTTGATTCAAAATTGCACACACCAAGTAGTGATCTGAAGTAGACATGTTTTTGACATGGTAGAGCCTTTGTAAATATATCAGCCACTTGTTCATTTGTGTTACAAAACTTCAATGCAATCTCTTCTTTTGCCACCAGGTCACAAATAAAATGGAAGTGAATGTCTATGTGCTTTGTTATTCCATGGAATATAGGATTTTTTGTCATTCAA